CCACCCCCATGCACTAATTTTTTGCACTGGGCTTCTAGTCTGTATATATAAAAGGCTAAGCAACCGGCCTATCGGCCCACCGGCTGGTAGCTATGACGTGCACTGACCACCAAGGGGCAGATGATCAATGCAGTAGCTGCCAAGTGACAGCAACTTTGCAGAGCACCCTCTTGCACTCCAGGACCCCTCAGGGGATGTCGGACTGCCGGTTTGGGTCTGATCCCAGCAGGTCAAGCTGAGGGACCCCACCTGCCAGAGGGATCCCGCTCACTCCATAGATGCTCTTCAAGCCCAGGTGCTGCCCCAGGTGCGGCTGGCTGGGAGGGAACATTGGAACTTGGCTCCAGGACATGTCTGGCCTGTCTCGCCCAGTCCAGCCTTGCCAGCCATCTTCTAATTAATTTACTTTCAGTGTGCATGAATCTGTGCACCAGACCTCTAGTCCTATATAATAAAAGCCTAATATGCAAATAGTCCTCTCAACCGGGAGTTCGACTGCTCGCTATGATGTGTGCTTACCACCAGGGAGCAGTGTGGAACATGGCGGGTGTCTGCAACAGGATGCTGGCAGCAGGCAGTAGTGGAGGCGCTGCTGGCCCCTATGGGCCCTGATGAGAGCAGGACCATGGCGGGATGGTGGAGCAGGTGAGCTCACAGTGCCAGCCCAAGGAGGGTACTAGCGGGGCTTGATCACCTCACAGACGGCGACCAGTGACAGTGGCAGGGGGCGGGGCTGCCGCCTGGCTCCAGGTGCTGAGGGGGGGACTCGGGGGCCCAGGGGCCCATGTGCTGCCCAGGGCCTAGAGGTCAGCTGGGACCTGCACTTCCACACCAGACACTCGAGCTTCAATTGCCGGCCAGGCCTAGTGACCGCACCCATGCATGAATTCCAGCACCGGGCCTCTAGTCCTCGACTGGGAGTTATCCAGGAGTTCGACCAGGGGGTGGGGCCAGCCAGGGGAAGGGAGAGAGGCCCGGGCAGCGGCAGCTGGCAGCTGCTAGGGACCCTACCAGTGCACGAATTTTGTGCAGTGGACCTCTAGTATTGAATAAAACATGAAAGTTTCAATGTGCTTTTTATTTAGAACACCTCAGGCTACCAGAAAGAGCCTCCATCAGGTGGAAGTGGCCATTTTGGTGATGGCCCATTGCAGATGAACTTAAGAACTGTCAATGTGTAAACTCATGTTGAATTCACAGGTGTTTAGGAGTAATTTTCCCTTTATAATACATCAACACATAAGGAATACTTAATCCATTTAATGTGTTGTATTTCTTAAGACAGAATTTATAAATAGAGTATTTCACCTCTTTCTCACTCATCTTATTGTTTTGTGTTTTTCATAGCACAATCTGATTATTTTTACTTTGTTAATCTGTTATTTGGTTCCTTAAGTGATATGAGAGCAGGGACCTCATCTGTCTTGTTTTCTGCTCCACCTCTGTGCTTAGAACAGTCTCTGGCACATAGGAAATGTTCAGTAAATACTTGTAAAATTGATTTTTATTCAGTTTGTTGATTTCCTTTCCAAGGAAATGTTTTATTTTACATAATTTATATTTTTCATGCCACATTTTAGGTTAAAAATAATAGTAGACACACAGAAGTGCTTACTATATGTCAGATACTGTTCTATGCATTTCATAAATATTTATATCATTTAATGCTCACAAGCACTCTATGAGATATTCCCATTTTGGAGATGTGAAAACTGAAGCACAGAGAAGTTAAGTAATTTGCCCTAGGTTACACAGTCAATAAATGGCTGAGCTAGAGAATGAACATGGACTGTCTTGCTCCAGAGTCTCATTTCTTAACCACACACTGTACCACCTCTTTCTTACCATCTCTACTCCTCTTTTTCTTATTAAACAAATTTACTTCTTTTTAAAAAAAATATATTTTTTATTGATTTCAGAGAGGAAGGGAGAGGGAATCTCAATGATGAGAGAGATTTATTGATCAGCTGCCTCCTGCATGATCCATTGAGCCCACAACCTGGGCATGTGCTCTGACCAGGAAAGGAACCATGAACTCCTGGTTCATAGGTCAACACTCAACCACTGAGCCACACTGGCTGGGCTAAACAAGTTTACTTTTTTCTCTGGAATCTTTTAAGTAGAGGATACCTAGATAACTTTTAAATAGTCTGAAAATAGATTACTCTTGAAAAATTCTGAGCATAGTTATCCTTTGCATAACCTCTTTAAGTCCTTCATTATTACAAAGTTAAATGTCCACTATGTACCCAACTTGGCAGTAAGCTAATCTCAGCTGTGCAACATGAGGCTAAAAATATATGATGTTAAAGTTTCACATGGCTGACTGTGACTAATATGCCCTCTTTTTTTCTTTTCTTTTTTTTTTTTGCTGCCCATATCTAGTCACCTAGCCACTTGCTGATAATATAGACTACTTTAAAAAGCAAATAATTATAGCACAGCACTTATGTGACAAGTAGTACTTAATAAAGAAGGAAAAGAAAAAAAATTATTTTTTTATACTTACTTGAGAAGGTAACATTTTTCAAATATACATCTTTATTACTTAGGCAATGTACAACTTTTCTCATCTTTTATAGCATCAGTAGATCTATAGTACACAAATATGTGCAACATAGAACTTAAAAATAATCCATGTTGTATATTTAGGAATCTGGCGTGTGTGTTTTTTCAAGAATAGTTCATCACGTCCATGGCTAATATATGTGTTATCCTGCAGTAGAACATGCACCCTGGGAAAGAGAGGTTTGTGCTCTTAAGGAGCAACACTGCCCAGTGTTGTAATTAGTCCCTGAACTTGTTGATAAGGAAAAACATAGACCCTGAATAAGGTATCTAATTCAAAGGTTTTTATGTAATTGTAATAACATTTCTTTAGTCTTACATACATCAATGTTATTACTTTTAAAATTGCAGTCCTCAAAGCTAACCTGGTAATAAGACAGTCAAGAAAGTAAAATGATTTGACAGTGTCTGCAAAAACAAAACAAAACAAAACAAAACAAAACAAAAAAAAACCCTAACCTTTTACTATGTCCAAATAGTGTAAATTAGAGTATTAGCCAAATTTGAAATTTAATGGCATTCTGGGTTCTAATGAAAAATCTAAACTTTTGATACTGGAACAAAATATTATCTTAAAACCAAACTAGAGTGATTAAGTGAAGTTAGCTAGATTAATATTACTTATAGAAAATGACTAATAGAAAGATGTGCCTTTAAAAAAAGAGATGTGGAGATTTTAGGAAGCCATTTTATTATATACTAGAGACCCAATGAATGAAATTCATGCACAGGTAGGGCCCTTAGGCCTGGCCAGCGATCAGGGCCGATCAGGGCCTTCTGGCTGGCGTCCAGGGCCTCCCTTTTCTGGCTTCCAGCTGCTGGCTGGGGCCTTCCTTTGTTCCATGCCTCCCCTGTTGATCAGCACACGTCATAGCGAGTGAGAAAACTCCAGGTCTCCTGGTCGAACTCCCAGAGGGACACTTTGCATATTAGCCTTTTATATATATAGATTCATCATTAAAAATGTTATAAACACAGATCATAAAAGAAAGCTTCTGGAAATGGATGGATTGGGGCATAAAGCAGTGAAATCCTTCTCTCCAGGCTGTTTCAGGCGGAGGCTAAGTCATCCCTTATCACAGAAGTAATACAGGCTACTCAGGCATCTGTTCCAGGGGGTTTATGAGAGCCTATGTTTTTATCTATAGTGGCCACAAGGTCCTGTTTCAGGACCATCAGAGATATCTGTGTTATCAATTAGAAGAACATATACCTATGTAATAGTTATAAAATATAATGTAAGTTAGAAATGTATGCACATCTTATTTATGTATATATGAGATATAAAGATATACTATGTGATCAAATAAGTAAGATAAATATACACATACTGGAGGTCCAGTGCATGAAATTCCTGCACAGGTAGGGTCCCTAGGCTTAGCCGGTGATCAGGGCCAATGTATGGGTGACTGGCGGGGTGATCGGGGCCCCTGCTTGAACCTGCCCTGGCTGGCCTGGCACTGCTGGCTCACCAGCACCCCCCCCCCTTTGCCGCCACCGGTTGGGGCCTGGAGGCTGGGGGCAGTTCCTGTGTTGAGCGTCTGCCCCCTGGTGGTCAATGTGTGTCATAGCGACCAGTCATTCCACCGGCTGTTCTGCCGTTCGGTCGATTTGCATATTAGGGTTTTATATAAATAGATTACTTATATAAGCATCTCTCTCTATATATATAAAAAGCTAAGTGACTGACCATCCATCTGTCCATCCGACTATCTGACTGACTAAATGGCCAGTACATATGACATGCACTGGAAATTTAAAAATAAATGTTGACTCATACATGTGCGATACATATAAAGCTCTTGCTGGCGCCTATTGGACGTGTGTGTTTCGATCTGTCATTGTGAATTTGGTTGACATTTCTATTATAGAGAAAGGGCAAATAGCAATATTAAAATATTCTAATTAATTTCCTTTCAATATGCACAAATCCATGCACTGGGTCACTAGTTTATATATAAAGTATGTAAGACTATCGCAAGTATCCTCCATGAGGTAGGTGTCCGTAAGTACCACAGCCATCTTAATTCTCAGGGTATGAAGGAAACACGTGCTAATATAGGGAAATGCCACACAATAATGACAAATCCTAGGAAATCAAATTCATCAGGAAATTTATTAGCTTGATATAATTTTCCATTAGCTATTTTAAAGATGAACATTAATATGATAAATGAAAGTTCAGCCACCTCCAAGTTGATCTAATTTTAATTCTGAAGTGGTGCTTAGTAGCAGCTATACATGAAATGAAATGACTGTTTTAATGCTGCAAGTAGAAAATTACATAGCTCTTTTTAACAAAGAGTGCTTTTTAAAACCATGTTTGATGACTCACCATTTCTATGATAACCCACAAAATGATCAGCTGTATTGGTTATGTTTATAAAGTCCCAAGTGTAATAGTCAGTCTAAGATGCAAAATAAACCAGGCATCTAGCAAAGAGGAGACGGGCACATACTAGCTCTTTTTATTTAAGTAGAAGGAACATATTTCATGGAAGTTTTCTTTTCCTGGCTTAATAGACTTAGCCCCTCATTAACTTCCCCTTCCCCCACCCCAAGATATAATATAGAATATAATGGAATTAAGATAATAGACTTTCTCAACCCAGATGAAGGTTCTTAATGGGTTTCCTGTTTAACATAATTAATTGGTGAAAAATGTAAAGATATGTTTACCAGAGTTAGATATCCTGATGGATTAAGTCACTGGACAGGCTCTGACAAGATGAATGATCCCTGGGCTAAGGTGAGGTGCTGCATGTGAGCCCTAATAATCAACCAGAGATGCAGGATTGGATGTGGGGACAGGGCTGGGTGGGACTGAACAAGACTTAAGGGTGTTGACAGGAATCTCAACACAACCATCAAAAGGAAACAGTGTGATCTATGGCTGCATTAATCACATACAGCACATGAGAGATGGTAGTCTGGATTAAGTTGAATAATTCTAATGAGGATAGGTCTGGAACATGTGGGCACCTTAAGAAAGAGATGGATAAATTGGAATTTGTGCTGAGGATAGGGGTTCAGTGCTTCAGTGCACACAGACAGCCTGGAAGAAGGGAAGTCATTGACAGCTATGTTGCGCTGTTTAAAGTTCTGCCTTGTGAACTAGACTCCACCTGTATGGCCAAATAGATGCAGCTATGGGCAGGTAGAGTTAGATTTCATTGAAAGAAGAAATTTTTATCACAGCTTTCAAAATTTAGAGGCTGTGATACCCCAGATTGAGTTCTCTCTTATTAGTTATCAAGAAAAACTCAGTAGAGGAAGCAGAGAAGGTATTTAAACACTGATAGTTGTTCTTTCTTTTTTTGTGTGGTTATAGTTGATGATTTTATTTTTTAAATATTTAATTATTACTTTAATCCTCTAGACAAGTATGTTATCTAAGTCAAATGGGTGATTAATTCTGTTTATTAAAGACTATGAGGAGTTTAAGTTCATGAGAATATTTAATTAATTTATTCATTCACTAAACATTTATTTCCTTTCTACTCTTTGTCATTCACTGTGATTGGCACAGGATATTAAAACATGTGTACGATACAGGCATAGCTCTCAAGGAAATCATATGGGTAAAAAAATTTTCCCTAAGTTTAACTTTAATTCTTTTTCATTGAAAATTAGATTTTGTTTTGTTCTTGATTAACACTGTTCTAATCTTTCTTTTTAAGGCTACTTTATTCTCTTGGGCTAAGTAATTGTAATTCCATTTAATATTGTTTATTATTAAACCTTTGATAAATATTTAATATTAACTTTGGAATAATTTATTCCTGTTTTATTCTCATTCATTCAGTTATTCATTTCATTTTTTATTCACTTGAGCAAATATTTATTACTGTCTACTTTGTGCCAGACAGTATTTGGGGTTCTGAGCCTTCAGTGAACCGGACAGTTATGTTCTAGTAAGAGCAGACAGAAAAGAAATGACATAAAGGAAACACAGTAACTAAAAATTCTGAAGGAAATAAATAGGATAATGGCATAGGCTAAGAGTAAGGGGATAATTTGTTTGCTGTCTTCTAGATCTTTAATTTCTAACTCTTCTGTCGAGTTTGGTTGCTTCTGAAGTAATCACACTCATGCCTTCTCAGTACAGAACAAAGTTAACTTGGTGGTGATGGATTCGTTGGTATGATGCTTCTTTCTCTAACGGAGGACTGGGCTTGACATATCTGAGATTTTTGCCTGCATTCTATTTTCTCCCACAGGTTAAGCCATTTAAATATTATAGCTGGGTCTTCATCAAATCATAACAATTAATTGAAAAATGAAAAATTCACTTTTAAATATCTAATCATTTCCCCCACTTTGTCAGCTGCTTTCCCAAGACTCAGACCTTGAACATTTAGAACCCTAACCGCCCTTGGGTGAGGGAGATTTCCCACAATCGTAGCTAAGATTTTAACAGGATGAACATGAGGGTTGGGATTTCAGCCTATGGTCAACGACTTTTGAAATAAGCGACAAAGATTTAGAATTAGGAGTCTAAATTGAAACACTAAAATGAAAATGTTATGTATATTGTCTTGTTATAGAGACTCAGGCAAATTTGACCAACAGTTGTGATATTCAAATATACAAAATCCTAGCAAATCTCTGAAATTTAACAGGTAAAAACTTAATGCACTTCTAAATGAGAGTAATGGTTTATTGTGTGTGTGTTTTTTGTTTTTTGTTTTTTTTTTTTTTTTTAAAGATCGCCTACAAGCAGAAACATGATGCTGCCAGAGGACTCTCAGATTACACCCATATGAAGGAGCCACCTGCCATGGAGGTCAATAAACACCAGAGTAATGTAAGGAAGCCACTCCCCACGACTTTCTGGCAAATTGTGGTTGACCCACCGTGAGGCTAATGGATATTTTGTTGAAATTTAAATATTATGACACTCCCTTTAAAAAAATGACTTTAAATTTTCTTTTCTTTTTATCTCTTTGTGTTCAGTAAGAAAGATATCTGAATTATTCCATTAACAGTTATTAAAACCTCCTGGAATGCCTTTAAAATGCCAGGCACTTGCCGGCATTGGAAATTCTGCTTTGAACAAGACACACATGGATCCTTTGGACCTATTGGGTTATTAGAATTTTTAAAAATTCCTTGACTTGATGGCGAAGCTCCCATGGTTTCCTGCCTAGGATTGCAGAAGAATTGGGAGAAAGAGTGCTGCAAATCAGTGGTCCCGGGAAGACTCATTCACAGATGCTAGCGAGACTGTCCCCCACTCCTGTTTCTTTTGGAATGCTTGTGCGGGCAGCGTGTCAAACTAAAGACCCACAGAGAATAGGAAATCAATAGATGCCTAATGGCTGGCTTAGAAGCAGAAGCTGAGAGGGAGGAAGTGAGTCTATAGAAAACGAATCTCTCTTTGGTTTTAAGTCAGGAGGTACATCAAAGCTTTCACGCGTTTGCTCAGTTGCCACCACTCTCATGGTGGCCTGGAAGAAATATTTCTTCCTGAAATCTCAGGGAAAGCTTATTTATCTCCCATCATGAATTCTCTGCTTTCTAGAAGGAATATAAAAATTATTTGCCAGGTTCTTTATTGGTTAGAATCAGTTAAGATAAAGCGTCTGTCCTAGTTGGGTCAAGAAACTCCCTTTTGTCAAAAATACCTGAAACATCTTTGTCATCTCACACAGGGCCTGTCCCACCACTTAGTTCTCTTACTAAAGGTGCTTTGCAGATCTGTGCTCCCAGAGCCCCAGCTGTGCAGAGTGTCTCTTTGCAGGATGGCAGCAGTTTTCTGATATTAAATTGCAGTAGGTCAATGCTTAAGTAAAAAGTGAGTGAGGTTTTACGTTTTAATCCAAATGTATAAACAGATGCCAACACCAAAGCACTTTTCCTTGATGGTTTGAGATTGATAAGAGATGAAGAAGCTGCATGTCTGTTATTACCAGCAAGGTCATTTTAAGGGGACGCTTTATAAGAACAGTTTGCTTACAGAATGACTATAATAATCATAATAACTACCTCTTAGCCAGCACTGCTGTGTAGCAGAACTGTGCCAAGACTTTGATCATGGCCAGTTCTCACAAAATCCCTGTACCGGTTCCCATTTTGTAGATGAGAAAAATGAGACTAAAGAATCAAAGCCCTGGGTTTGCTCTTTCTATTAGGCCCTGCTGCCTCCCTCTTAAAGGTCACTAGTTATTGGTCAAGATTTTAAATGAAGTTTTTAAAATGGGCACCAAATAGGTTGTCATCAGAATTCAGATCAGCGGCTCCAGTTCACTGCAGGAAAGAAGAAGGTGGTGGGGGTGGGTTAGGGAGGGGGCCGTACTGCAAGGATCCTCGGGAGGCCCTTCTAACTCTATAATTCAATGAAATTCAAATACGGAAGTTCCTTATCATAGAACTGGGGTTATTATTTTAAGTCTGCCTTTTCTTTTCAAAGGTCTTTGATTGAGGGGTTGAGGGAACAGAGTATAAAGCCCTTTCCTCCGTTCAATACTGTGTACTTATGGGAGAAGGGTGTGTTTACTTACACTCCTCTGCCTAACCAGCTCAACCTTTACATGCAAAGTTTGTACATATAATAGGATTTAGAAAGTGTTTAAGACTATTTACTCAGATTTAAAGTGAGGAGGATATTTGTGTTCTGTCTGTGAAGTAGTTGCTATTCCTCTAGAGTCAAGGCACTTAGAATAATACACTTGTTGTCCTTGCAATATGAAATTTAAACGCAGGTCTGGAAAGCCGCGAGGAGAGCAAGTACAGCTACCTTGTGGTTCAGCTGGCGAGGCCACCGAATCACCAGGAGAGACAACCCTGCCTCCTTCAGTCTAATGATGCTCATCGGCAGGGAATTTACTAATAGAATTACCCTTCCTAACGTGGTCTGTGACTTCGCACTAAGCCTATAAATCACTTGATTTAATTTAAAATCAAATGTGTTGCCACATGTGCAACTAATTAACCTAGAAACAATGCAAGTCGGCATCTTTGCTTACCTTTTTTTACGTTTCCATCCAAATCAAGTCGGCGTTTGAGTAGCTGTTAGAGAGACACAAGAAACTGGGACAACGATAGTTCAATGTTTTTAACTTCTGCCTTCTTTCCACTCAGACCTTTTACTACAATATTTATCCATGGTTCACAGGGAACCTTTTTGTTTCAGAACCTTTCTCACCTTTTACCTCTAGAGATGTAGATGTGTGTAAGCAGAAGAGGATGGGGAGAGGATGCTGTGGGACCGGCCAACTAAATTTTCCCCTTTGAATAACTGAGCGTTCCAAGGAGAAGAGCATTTGGGGGCAATTAATCTCCTTTGTCCCCCCAAACTCAGTGATCATGAAACAAGGAAAACATATTTCTCAATATCCTCCACTGTAGCATACAATAGAAAGGGAATCTGGAGTCAAATCAGAGCTAAAACGCTTGCTTTGCCACTTGCTTGCATGACCTTGGACAAGTTACTAATATCTCCAACTCCTGGTTTTCTCATCTTAAAATCGGGGCAATGATCTTTATCTCATTAGGGCTGCAAGTATTAAATGAGATGACATATGTGAAGGGCTCTGCGGAAGAGCCACTCCATAAAATGTTAGTCCTAGTTAGTCCCCCTCCAGTTTTCAAGGGTGATTTAGGGATTTACAGTGCGATCACAGTTAATTCAAAAACAATCTAAAGAAGTAAGACTATATTAAAGTCCAAATCCATATAAAATTTATACAAAGGAGCATTTAGGTCAGAAGGGCATATTCAAAAACTTCCCGAACCCTTATTGCTGATATGATAATAAAAAATGACTATCATTTTTTTATTATCATAAAAAAAGAGCCAATCTAAATCCCTTTTTTATCTTAAGGGATGTACCCCTGCCAAATTTTTCTAATGTAATTAGAGAAACTGGAGGTTTCTATTCTGTTGCTTTTCCCTAAAGATGGGCTTGTAATGAAAACCCCAGTAACATTATTAGTTCTCATCAATCTTACCAGAGACAAAAACTCCAATAGTTCTGAAGTAAGGCAAACAAATTTTAAGCTGCCATTTTAAGTTTTATAAGGAATGTGGTTTGTATAGACTTGTCATGAAATTGGAGTGGTAAACTTTTCCAAAACACCATATTGGTAATCAATTCAGTGTGCATTAGAAAGACGTATTCAGCTGGGGAAGCAAGAGACTTAATGTTCCTTTCAAGAATGATATATGTAGTTTCTTAATGTTAATAAAAACTTATCAGTAGACAAAATTTCTATTTCATAAGAAAATGAAAAAAACTTAAAGAAAAATCAGGAAAAACGTTGCTAGGAAAACATTTCCGGCTTTATGTGGTTCCTTGATGTGACTTACAATAATAGTGCTTTAGGATTTAGCATCAAACTAGGTGTATTAGTATTTTGTTCATCTCTAAGACAGAATAGTTAGTATTATCTGTTCTGCCTTCTTCACAGGATTGTGGTGGTGATAAAATAACCATGACTAAGAAAACTTAGTCAACTCTAAAATGCTCTTATAAACTGACAATAATAATAATAATGGTAAACTGTTCTAGATACAACTCCATATGTTACTTCCTTTTTTAAAAGATTGAAAACTTTTCTTTTTTTCCTATTTAATATCAGATCCTCCATTTACTTATACTTAAAAGGTTTACATTATCTTATAAAAATATTTATAATGTAATAATTTTTTAAGTACAGTATGCCCAGGCAGAAATAAGCCTAGACTTTCCAGTGTGTGTGCCCCTTTGGTGATACCTGGAGAGTTTTTTAATGTGAGAATTTATAATGATGATACAGGTATTTTTTGACAATGACAACTTCTGTTCCACAAAATTAAAAAACCCATATCCTCTCTAGTTTCTTCTCACTAAGAATCATGGTAACCTTCACCAGAGTAGCAAAGAGATGAATGTTTCTGGGCCAGTTGCATTTGGTTTCTGTGAGTCTGTCTGCTCACCCTGCCCTCAGCCCCAGCAAGTGTCTGTCTGTGGCTCCCATCTTGGCTGACATTCCTCAGCGCTCAATGTTCACATCTCCAAGTGCTTGAACTTCACTGTAAGGACAGTTTTGGTGGAGGTTTTGCTTCCCTCTAGTTTATTAGCTCACCTTTTGAGGAATCTCAAATGACTGTTGTCTAAATATGAAAAGCTTGCTGCAAAGTCACTGGGAATTCTTTGTCTGCCCAAGTGTCTGGCTTTACATGGAAAATAGAGGCATCTATTTCACTTCTGTTTTCAAAATCTAATGAGACTCTTATTGGCCAAATCTAACCCAGGACGATACAAGGATTTAATGAGTTAATGTGTGTAAAAGATTTAGAACAGTGCCTGGCACATTGGACATTCTGTATGAACAGGAAACATGCAAAAGCTGTGGCCTTATGAAACAGAACTAGAAAGCTTGCAAGGAGAGAACAAACTGAGGTTCTAAGACAAAGTGAGATTAAAAAAGAAGCTGCCCTGGCTGGTGTGACTGAGTGATAGAGCTTTGGCTTGGGCACCAAAGGGTCGAGGGTTCCATTCACAGTCAACGGCACATACCTAGTATACAGGTTTGTGCCCCAGATAGGGGACATGCAGGAGGCAACCAGTGGATGTGTCTCTCTCACATTGATCTCTCTCTCTCTCTCTCTCTCTCTCTCTCGCTCCCTCCCTTTCACTCTCTCTGAAAAGCAATGGGAAATATATCAAGGATTAACAACAACAACAAAAAGTTGAGTAGGAAAGTGAACATTGTGAGATAAGGAAGAAATTCAGCAACAGATTTTGATAGAATTAAAATCCTTATTGGAGGCAATAAAGAGCAGATTTGACACTGTAGATGATGTAAAGGCTGTTAGCAGTTC